GTATCTATCTTTTCACCCCGGGCTAATTACCAATCCCATATCCTCATATCACCCTTTCCTTATCAAAATTTTACTTGCTTATTATAATATAGTATGATGTGCGCTTTTGAGCGGATTTAATGAGAACTCTCCAGACCCCATTCTTGTTTTCTCGCCCCCTCACGCTGCAATCCTCTTCCCGTAGGTCTTATCAGTGTCTTCCTCTTGCCTCGTAGGATCCGTTTCCTACCTTCTGGTTCAGGTATTTAATCGACCACTTTAACCCTATCTGTACTACTCGAAGCGCTATTTCTCATAGTGTCTGAAGCCTTTGAAGGCACGCCTACTACCACATCGCTGAGTAGGCTCATAAAAATCAGGATTCTCAAGTTAAATGGGAAACTAACTTGAGGCTAAAGAGCCCAAGTAATTCTCGTGATCCAGCCTTTGCTGCATGTACCACGTATATGATCAAACACCTCTACTGTTAGCCAACTAGCTCTAGTCGCCACATCATCTATAGTGCATCTATCCATAGTACCAAGTCTATGACTTCCTATGCCTAGTCTCGTGTGTGCCAACCCACGAATGCCGTGGCTTTTCATTGAACCTAATCAAAACAAGTAGAACCACAACATCTGTGAGTTGACACACAAGAGACTAGGGCATATAAATTCATAGATTTGGCACTATGAGTAGAAGCACGATAGATGTGGCGGAGACTTGAGCTAATTAGCTAACAGTAGATGTGTTTGAGTATAGACGTGGTCTATTTTGGCAAAGGCTTGACCTTGCGAATTACTCGAGATTTTAGTCTAAAGTAAGTCTTACATCCAGCTTGAGAATCCTGAATTTTAGGAGCCTGATCAGCGAGGCAGGAGTAAGCGTGCCATCAAAGTCTTGAGACAGAGTGAGAAAAGTCACTTCGAGTAGTACAGAAAGGGTGGCAGGTGTCGAGTGAAATATCTGGACCAGGCAGGTAGGAGGCGGATCATACGGGGCAAGAGTGAGACTGTGATAAGACCTATGTGTCATGAAAGGGTGGAGTGGGCTTGAAAGCGCAATCATATCTGAATTTACATTGAGTGTTTTTTAACTCAGTAAGAAGAGATAAAATGCGTTCTTATTCTTGAAATGGTTTGTTTTGTATAATAAAGAACAAGCATATTTAATCAGAGCTTCATCAAGATTCTTGCCTGTTATGCTCAAAAGGCAAAGGAAGAACTAATCAAATAAAATCGTTTCTGCTCAATTATTATCACACTAGAGCTAATAACAAAATCCGAAGATTATAACTGAATTGCTTTCCCTATTCAGAATCTTTGGGTTAGCAATTAAAATGCTTTCTGCTTTTGCCTATCATATGGTGGGCAAGCGCTTAGCTTAAATTTATTATTTATTTTTTGTGACTCGTATTCCAGCTGGCATAAGAGCTGCATTCATCCTATTTCTTTTTAAAGTGATGATGGACTGGTAGTCGAATTTTCCTATAATGATATGAATAAACTTACATTTAAATTAAATTTCACTTAGCCTTTCTCCCCAAAAGGTTTTCTCATCCAGCATGGACTGCAGGATCGACCTCGCCTAGGTCTCATCAGTAACCCCAGAAGGACTCGAATCATGATAGTGCAGCATATAATCCATTTACTTTAACCATCACGCCACCATTCCACCAGTGCCCTCGAGTCACAAAGCAGATTAGAATGTCAAGGAAAGCCAAACATTTTTCCATATGACACTACTTATTTTTTACTTCATATGTAGGTCTTTCGAAATAGGATGAATACAGCTCTAATTTACCGGTAGTCTCAAAAAACCTACCTATGAAAAGAAATAAGAAATGCAGTAAATTGATTTGGCAAATACAAATTTGCTTTATAGACAATCCCACCAAGAATGCGGTATGGGAAGCTGCCTGGTCTTGCTTTAAATTCACTTCTGCCCTGTGGCCAAAGGATACTAGTGGCAATATTTAATACTTGATGTGTCTAGGTTATACGCTGTACTATCACGGATAGAATTCCGCTGGGAGTGCTGATGCGATCTAGGTGAAGTCGAAACAGCACCCTACTTCGGGCTAGATGAGAATACCTTGTGGGGAGCAAGGCTATGTGAAATGCAATAAAAAATTACGGTCTAATCATATCATTGTGGGAAAATTCAACTTCATACTTATCAGCTAGGGAATAGCATAGCTATTTTAAAGTAAAACTCTCAAATTACCTGCTTTCATCTAGTGAGATGAAACTAAAACGTCTTTCCCAAAATAAGTAACAAATTACACACAAAATAACTCAGAATCACAAGGCTGGCCTGCTTATGATACATTTTATGTATACTAATTTAAAATACAAGAGATGTGCCTTTACATGCTTTATTTATAAAAAAAATATAATTCCCGCTAGCGACAATGCATTAATTAATTGGGCAAAAGTTCAGTTTGATTATGAAGCAGAGTTTATATACGATTCCAAGGGCTGCATATTGAGGATCTTGAATTCGATATACTTTATTATTTTCCTTTATAGCTTAATTGCCATGATAAGCCCCTCAGTTGCATCCATGATGCATGCGTATCGCTAAATAGTTCGTCACGTGACTGCTCCCACATAGCGACGAGATTCAAGAGGAATATGCTAGTATGTTAAAGCGTAATATAAGGTATGCATAAACTAAATGCACCGGTGGAAAGATGAATGAGAATGAACGAAAAGTAGTTTGTACAACTTTGTCACATTTCATAATATTAATGTTTTAGCTGGATACTAAATAGAAAAGTGAGAGCAAAAAACTAGCTTTTTTGTCCATCCTCCTCCAAAGATATAGCTTCCCCTGTAGGGCCTTCAATGGTCAAGTTGTCTTCTGCCCTAAGATGTGTCATTTCGAGCCAAGTTGACTGTGCCTGGCTTGGACGAATTGATCTGGCACTTTTCTCTTCTCCTCCCCAAGCAAGTCAGAAGTCGAGTTCGTCGCAGAATTGGCTTTATTAACTCTGTTAATTGTCTGTTTTATTGCAGCAGCGACTTCTTGCCCGGGCAATTTATCAACACGAGTAGAATTCCGACAGCTTGTGTTGCCACTTCTAACTCGAGGATCGTTGGATCGAGTCACCTGCAGCCAGCTGCGCACGGTCTCTAGCCCAAGGCAGTCGTTGTACTCCCTGCCAGCCTCCAAACTAGACGAGTTAGAACTTCCAATGGCCAGGTCGGAAACGGTTTTTGCTCTTGTATCCGAGTGGATATCACGTAGTCTCGTTTGAGATCGGGCAAGAGTCCGCTGATGACCAGACAACCTCTGGCCAGGTCGGTTTGGCCTGTGCTGCCTAAGTTGTTCCAAGACATCGAGGAATTCAGCTTTCTTCAGACTAAGTCGGTGCAGTTCTCGTTCCAATTGCTTATCGAGGCTAGAGTGCACCGCGGCCAGTCGGTTGCGTTCATTCGTGTTGCGCATTCGCACGAATCGCACCTTGTCCTGATGGGAAGAGCACTGTTCCCATTCAGTCTCTTCGCGAACCTGAGACAAATCTGTCATCCGCTCACTGGAACTGAGATGAGAACTGACGAGGCTGTTAGGGCTTGCCGCACAGTTGGTGAAATGATCAGCATTGGCACGGTTGCCGACGTACAGATGTCCACTGAGGTTCCGTTGTGGAGTGCAGTGGCGTTCGCTAAGCTCACTGCGGCCGGCAATTGCGTTAACTCCAGGTCCAGATCGACTAATGGAGCCGAGAAGCAGTCCTCGTGGCCTTTGGTGGCTGGGAGGCGATCTTGAATGCTGGGAATCGGCGGCCGGACTAAGAGCCCTATTCGAAGGGGAAGAGGAGGCGAGAGAAAAACTCGAGCCGGAACGTCTGCCGAGTGAACGGTATCGGTCGACAGGTGGGCCAAGAAGCGACTTGTACTCATTGCATGACGATGAGGCCAGCTGATCATTTGGAGGAAAGAATGGAGCTAATGAGGAGGAGGAGGAGGAGGCAGATGAACAGGCCTTCATGCTTACACAGAAGAAAGTAGTCCTGAGCTTTGGCACTATCTCCTGAAGCAACCAAATTTACGTAAAGGCATGTGACGTTGCGGGATAGTTAATCTCACTAGATTGTGAGTAGCGGAAATTTTAGAGAGCTATAGTGTGGAGGACCTACTTTTGGTAGATGCTAGAATGTAATTAACTCTGCAAAGGAATGCCCTATTGCTCTAGCCGGAGCGCACAGAGTTTGCGGTGTAAACTGAAACAAATCACAATACACAGCAATGTCGATGAGGCAACAAGTGGAATGTTTGGTGCCTAAGGCCAGATATTGAGACGGACTCGGAGAGAGAGATTTAAGAGGATTGAATGAGTGGTTTCTTCTCTCGCAAAGCCAATCGACTGGCTCCATCTGTGATCATTGGGTCATGCTTAAGTATGTTGCCTATAAGCTTTGAAGCAAACATCCATATGTCGTTAAATCGGACCTACGCTCTCCAAGCTACAATCTAATTTGCATTTTTCACTAAGCCTGCACGAAGCTAGTCTGTATGTCTGGGAAGAGTGGTGGCTAAGAGACTACGTGATAAAACAAGATGATTATCGTGAGGTCTGATGCTTAGGGCATCTTGACCAAGGTCAGAGCTCTGCGTTTGGCTATCCACAAATAATTTTCTCCAGGATTTTGCTAACTTTACGTACCTTATCTACAAGTGCTTCATTTGGTTAAGTCGTCTTTTCACGCCCACGCATTTCTCAGAATTGAAAGCATACCAGCAATGATGGATTCAGTCATACCTTGTATTCACCTAACTTTTCAACCTTTAAGCAGACCCTGTTAGCTTTATGTATGTAAACTTGGGCTCTATTTATGCTTCACTGCTTGCTATCGACTAGATATTTAATTATTCATTTACAATCTAACAATCAAACCAGGAAGTTCTTGCCCGCCCATCTAACTGGGTCCTGAAGATATTGAGCTGGAGAAGCCAAAAAGCTTATAAAAGCTAATCTTATGAAACAATATAAATTTAAAAATAGTCTGCTAAAGTCATAAAAGGTATCACATATTACTGGTCACTTACATGCTAAGTGTAAGTGATCTTTAGTGAAATCATTAAACTATATTACCCATCAAAATATTTATTAAGCTTCAATATATTGAGTACAATGTGGTTATTTCCAGCCCAGCACTCGAAATGTCGCCTTGGTTATTCTTCTTGTAATTGTGTGGAAAAGTATCATTCCAAGGTTTTCTTCAATAAAGAATTGATTATCGATTATCGTTTTTAAAGTTGCTCAAGTTAGCTTAGTCCTCTAATGATCTGACAGTCATGATTGCTACAATGAACTATTTTAAGGTTTTCAATGTGTACTTAAGATTCACTTGATTTAAGTATCCAGGATGGACCTCACATTCGACCCCTCCTAAATCTCACCAGCAGCTCAACGGGATTCGAGAAACCGAGTAGTGCACATCAAGTGAAAGCCTTTCCACTCACCACACATTTGGTCATGAGGCGGTGTGTGCGAGATTTTAGGCGAACCCGGCATTGCCCATTTTGCATGTATAGAAACATATTAGGCATGAAAAATTTGTTTTTATTGCTACAATCAATGGCATATATATATATATATATATGCTGAGAAGAGCTAGGCGAGGTAAACACTGCAGAATTGTCTTTTTAGAAGCAATGGTAAGTTAAATTTCATGGTCTCGTGAGCCTTTTAAATGATTTTATTGTAAAAGACCCAAGTATTAGTTTCACCTTTAATCTCCTCTGTTGACACAAGATGAAGTTACCGTTTTTAGGCGACTCATTATGTACCTCATTTCTAGATTCTAGTTAATTTGTACGTTGTCGGTTTTTGATGAGCCCCATCTCAGTCAATGTTTTTATAGTTGACAGTCTG